TACTTTGCTTTAAAAATGTCCTCATCTTTATTCTGCTTAAGTCACAATATTTTGTGAAGTGGATAGGATAGAAAATATGTTATAAATAAATGAAAAACAGAGAGGTAACATGCCTATGTAATGTCATCTTTTTACTGTTTGTCATTTTTGTTGTTTTGTTTTTACTGTTATGGTACTGCCTTTAATTTAAGCAGGGATTTAATTATTTTTAAAATAGATTTTCATACTTTGAAAGAAGCCAAGTTTTAAATAACAGATTATTGAACTCATAAAAGAAGGCTTTAAAACAGTTTGGCTTGACTTCATCAACAGTAAATTTCCAGGAACAAGATAAAAAAATGGAGTGTGAACTTATATGTTAAAAGAGTCCTAAGAGACCTATCAACCAATCATAATATATTTAATAGCAACCTGATTCAAACAAACCAAAGGTTAAAAAATAAATTATGAGACATTTTGGAGACATTAAAAAATTACTGTTTGACTGATTTGATGTTGGGTAATGGGCACACAATGCAATATGCAGATTATATATCATAGAAATGTACGATTGAAACCTATATGATCTTGTTAGCCAATGACACCCCAATAAATTTAATAAAGAAGAAAAAAATATAAAATTAAATTAAATTTTAAAAAGACATAACTGCTTTTTCTTTAGGTGTGGTAGTGGTATTTTGGTTATATTCTTAAATCTGTATCTTAGAGTTTTACACAAAATATTAACAGATGACATGATGCAATGTCTGAAATTTTCTTTAAAGTGATTCTGGGTATGTATAGGGAGTGAATGGTTGTTGTAGAGTAAAACAAGATTGGTGATATGTTGATAGGTTTTAAAACTGGGTGATGGGTATATAAGTGTTTATAATACTATTCTCTTTATTTTTGTATATGTTTAAAATTTTCCATAATGAAAAGGTAGTTTTTTTTAAGTCACATTGGTAAAACTATAAGAGAAATGATGAAAACATTCTATTTTTGACCTTTCAAGAAAAAATGGCATGAAATAAAATGCTGTCATATTTTGTGCCCTAAATGCTTTCATTGATAACTTTTATTTAAATATTTTTACTATATTATTACTGAATTCCCAGTTGGCTAAGTCAACATATTAACTGGTGGAGTCAATCGTCCCAAGATTTTAAAACTTCCTTGATTTTATTGATTATTTGTTCTTCATAGATACAGTATTTAGTTTACAACTTATAGAACTCCAATAACGTAATAAATATGTTAGTTCCCTTGTATATGTAAGTCTCTTCTGAGTAGCTACCTTATTGGTAATTGTGAACATGAACTTCTAATCATTGAACGTCGTGTGAAATGTTGATTCAGTCAAACGTGCTGCTTTTGACTCGTTCAAGCAAAGCACTTCCCAAAGCACAGCAGCAGCAGCGGCGTCTGTTATATTTGCGATGAGGAAGAATTGGCAAGGATGACAAAAGGAAAGAACTTCACAAGAGCTGAACACAAAAGGAAATGCCGCGTAAAGAGGACTGTAGGGCAGACTCCCGAGGAGATCACAGAGGAACAGCAGAAGTTTGTAGGAGTTGGGTCAGAAAAGCTCAGTGGGAAGCTGGATGCCACATTCGTGGCTTCACCATTCATTCTCCAGGTTCGCTGTGGATTCCAGCATCCAAGGAACTCATTGTGTTGTCAGTTTCCTCCCATTCAGGGTGAAGGATGGCGTGCTTTCAGAATTCCCTGTAGAACCGTGTGCAGCAGTTGGAATTCACTCCAGTTAACTCTTGATGTTTTCTCTTTCGAAGGATAGACAATGAGATCAGAATCTGATCTAGACACAGTATTTGATAAATGCATGTCAATCAGGGCCTTTGGCAATGGCCTTATTCTCCCCAGGGTACAGGCTCTTTGCACAATCCCCCCACCCCCCACCCCCCGTGTTCACAATCCACTGGTCCCCATTCCGGGATCCACTCGTATTTGTTCTTGTACCAACGTGGTATGGTTTTCAACTTCATTGTTTTTTGTGTGTGAAAAATTGTTCTACTGCTCACTTTGGGTTTAATTTTTTTTACCAAAGGTTCTGAGTTATTTCTGCTGTAGTCTGCTTGAAAGGCAAAGGACTGCCCTGCGGGCGTGGCTCAGCGGTTGAGCACCGACCTAGGATCCAGGAGATCATGGTTCGATTCCCAGTCAGGGCACATGCCCAGGTTGTGGGCTCGATCCCCAGCAGGGGGCCTACAGGAGGCAGCCGATCAATGATGACTCTCTCATCATTGATTTGTCTCTCTCTCTCTCCCTCACCCTTCCTATCTCTGAAATCAATAAAGACATATATAAAAAAAAAGGCAAAGGACTATTTGCCAAACAAACTTCATCTTGTCCTTCTTCGTGTTCACCTTTTTTCCCATAGGCATGAAATGGATTTTCAGGGGACTCACAGGCTGGAGTGCAGCCACGGAGCAGGCCTGCACATTACTCAGGATCGTATTCTTTTGGGGGACCGCTGTCCTCCTGTTGAGAGAGGTCATCTGTATGGTCAGTTCCCTTGCTCTAGACCTCTGTGGTTCCCACAGAAGGAGTGGGTGGACTTCCAGGAAGGCCGGAAGGAAAGCTTGTGCACCCTGGAGATGTGTTGATTTCAAAATACTCCTGATTGTGATTCATTCAATGAAAATTCAGAGAAGGGACAATAGATGTTCTCTGTCTAAGCTGGGGTCAAATAACGTATACAGTATTTTTTAGGGCAGAGTCCGAGGATGGAAGTGAGCAGTCAGGTGCTGGGCCTGTTTCTAAGGTTACTCCTAGCTGGAGCAGTAATTGCTACCTCAGGCGCATCATCAGTTTGTGGGGAAGGGGTGCTTGCAACTTCTAAGTAGCAGGGTTTCTTTGTAACTGCTGTGTCCGTGAGCTTGCGTAGAAGGTTCTCATTTTCTGAAGGAACGTATCCAACTGGTTCAATTTCAATAGTGTAATTCCTCTTCTTTGGCTAGGACTCAGTTCTGCATGTGGAAAGTTCAAAATGATTCTCACTGGGCTAAAATCAATGACAGTTCACAGTGATTCTCACTGAGCTGGTTTCTGCAGGAGGTCCTAAGGAATAATCCATTTCTGGTTTTTCAGCCAGCTCTGTCCCCATTCCTTGGTTCAGGCTGTTTCACTTCAACCTCTGCTTCCATCGTCACATATCCTTCTCTCTGAAGTCATCATTTCACTTTATGACAGAGCCAGGAATGCTACTTTTTATGTCTCTATTGTCAATCTTTATAGTAAAGGATTTTATATAATATATAGACTTTATTATAGGATCTTTTATTTGAAGGTATTCCTTATAAATCTGGGAATGGGCATTTGGTAACCATCAGTCTTAAATATACTTTTCCATGGGATTCTTCTTCTACAATAAATTGAAGGAACCTACATTACCAAAGACAGACAGAAAATTTGGTAGGTCTAGTTGTTTCACATTCATATTCTGTAAAGCATACACAAAGTGACAGGAAATACAGGGGAATCTTGCTCCTATCAGGCTTAGAGGCTCAGTTCCAATGGTTAGCTATAATTTTTACAGAACAATAAAGCCAAAATGAAATAAATAATTAGCATGGCATTTTTTCAAGAAAAATAACAAGTGAACAATAATCCCTAAATATCATGTCTGTGTTAAATTTGTACAGTTTGCTTCTTTCTTTTATGGAAAAAAAGATGCTGAATAAATGTAAATTTTATATAAATATTGAAAGCAGACCCTTTGGTATAATAATTTTTTAAACTGTCACATTATGTAAATTTTGAATTTGTTACCAGTCTGGATAGGTTGTAACAGGCAACAGCATTTGTGTTGCTTTATGATACAAAGTCAGCTGCCTTTAATTTAAAGAGCTTCTGCCTCAGCAAATTGCACTTTGATGTTTTAATTTTGAGACACATGTTTATGAAATATTCAGAGTATCTTTGTATTTAATAACTCTTCTTTGTGGAAACCGTGTTACTTATTCACATCAGTAAATTTACACTTCAGTTGATATTGTTTTAAATGAAGTAAGTGATGTGAAAATATATTTTATACGATATATATACTATATAGATAGAATTAACTGGATCCTTACTGTCCTATGTAGTGTAAATAGAACAAATGTATGTGGTATTAATCCTATACTGTTCCTGAATATCTCTCACTAATTGTGCACGTTTCTTTGTTATGCCTTTTAGAATTCTTACTCTGGTTCTTCTAAGTCACTCTACACTAATATGTTGTTTCTCCTCTAATAGTATTTTTTGAATGTATGCTGTCCATTCAAAAATAAACATCTGCTGTGAATACTTTCAATGCAGACCAGATGGGGTTTTTAAGGCTTCATAACTGATGACTTATTTCATGTAACTGCTTTGGTTGAGAATTTGAGAATTCCTTTTGCTCTATACGTTAATAACCTTGTCTTCAAGATGACTTACAAGCATAATGGTACTTAGCCCTCATTGCGAATCTTTAGGTTTGGCATTATTATTCCATTTTATAAATGAAAAAACAACACTTAGAAAGACTCCCACAAATATGAAGTAACTAGACCCAGGCCTATCTGTGTATAAAGGTCAGTTTTAGCCTCTGCAATGTATTGTGTCCCAGCATGATTTCCATCTCAGCTGCATTTGCTCCTTGAAAGTGCTGAAGCAGGGTAAGCTCAGAACCGTGCCGTTTGACAGCCTGGTGCTCTGCAGAATGTTATGAAAGGAATTTAAGGAGAACACAATACTACTTGAAAAAATCCAATAGCTGTTAAGGGCCCAGCAGAGTAGTAGCATATCGAGGATTAGCTGTTCCAATTTTAGCCACCTGGCTTGCTTACAGATTTCATTTGTTTGGATTTTTAATTCTGAATTTGAAAGACAAGTGCTGATATATTTGGGAACATTAAGTAAGTCATATATTTCATGTTATGTCTCATTTATGCAAAACAAAATGTATGGTAATAAAATTTTCTTTTCTTTTTTCCCCCCCCTTTTCCTTCCTTATTATTATTTTTTTAATGCAGTGGGATGCATTTTGCTTTTATGCTGGAGTTCACCCCTGCGGCTTGGATTTATCACAGTAGCATCTGTCTTCGGTCTGTTTGTTAAGTAGAAATCACGGAAAGACATGAGGAGGCTTGTGTACTGCAAGGTGGTTCTCGCCACGTCCCTGATGTGGGTTCTGGTTGACGTCTTCTTGCTCCTGTACTTCAGTGAATGTAACAAATGTGACGACAGGAAGGAGAGGTCCCTGCTACCTGCGCTCAGGGGTAAGTGCTCATGAGGCAAACGTGGCTTTTAAAGACATGAGAGAGTGGTGGTGACTCACGACAAAACATGAAACTTCAGAACGGGGGTTGTTGGAAAACAGCTTATTGAGTTAGAAGAACGTTTTGGCAGAACTATTAATGTACATTTAACTGTGGGAAAGCAATTCTGCTTTTCTTGGCCTCAGTATATTGTTGGAAGAAATGAGAAGAATGAACTAACCTCTGAGGTTCCTTCCAGTTCTCATAATTCCTACATTCTGGGACTGTACAGAAAACATGATTCAGTGAACATTCAAATTGGACAGAATCTTAAATGTAGGCTTTCAGAAGCAAAAGCCCTTAGAGACCAAGCATATAATGTAAAGAAGAAAACCTGCTGAAGTGAGACAGTGGGAACTGTAGCAAAATGGAACTGTACACGATACCCCTAAGGACTTCCAAAAATAGTCAAACAAGCAAGCAAGCAAACACTTTTTTACACAAAACATGTTGGTGATCAGGTACAACCTATGGGCCATCAGATTGTTGCCCTATGTTAAGGGCAAAAGATAATTTGAAGGATATCAGAAAGTCACTTTAACTCAATATTTACCTCTTTCGGGACGAGTTTCATTGAGGAGTGGAGTGAATTTCAAAGAAACATAGAGATATGTGTAAATGGGGATTCATTAAGCGACATCATAGACATTTATTTCTTGCAATTATTTTACATAATTTTCTCTATGCCTTTGGTTGACTTCTAGATCTATAGATATTTTTGCAATATTTCTAGTAAATGAATGCTTGTGAAGCATTTAATGTGCTTGAAACTAGTTTTATTTTCATTGAATGAAACATTTTTTCCCTTGCAATCTAGTTTACATTCTTTTTCTGCTTAGCAGAAGTTTTCTTCTTAAATACGACGAAAGGTAAACTTTGAGTCCTACTTGAAATGTTTGTACCTTTAGGAAGAGTGAATATAAATTCCTGACTTGAGATTTTCATTTATTTAATGAATGTAATCTGGTTTTAGTTACAGATGTTTTTGAAGTTATTGATTAATCAAAATATGCTGATAAACAGAATTTCATTGGTATTATCTGGCTGTATGAGGTATAGGAAAACACAGAAGAGCATTTACAAAAATTTATTTTTGTTAAAAGAGTATCAAGGACATCTTGAGCTTGCTTGAGATTGCAATAATGTTCTTGCTCAATTGGAGATATTCTCATTATCTTCCTCTTTCCAAAATGAGTTTAACTTTCTCACTGTAGTTTTTAACTACTTCAAAGATCTGAGAAAAAGTACTTTGGAAGTGACTGAGCCTAGACCCATTTGAGTATTTTAATGCATCTTTTTATACCTTTATACTAGAGCTATTCAAAGAGGAGAACATTATGAGTCTATCAGATTTTGATAAATGAACATAGGGATTGATTTGCTGGTCTTTGGTTAAAATCCCAGAATAAATCAGGCTTCTCTGCTTGTTTGAATCAGTTGAGTTACTGCTTGGCTGAAAGTAGAAATGTGTCGTGATGGATTACATCAGTTTGGAAGGATCACTTTGTCATTTGTTGAGTGGAGACATCTAGATTGGTCACAGAAAATGTTATAATCTGATTCAGCAAAATTATGACAGCCTTTTTTACAAGTACCAAAAAAGTACAGTTTTGCTGATTTAAGTTCTTAATGCTCAATCTTAAATCTGAAAGTGTGAAATGTAATGATGTAAGGCAAAAATACTGATCTATTCTTTTAATTACACTGTAAAATTAAGTTATATTCTCTTTATTTTTAAGACTTCTTTAATTGTACGTTATGTTTGTCTTGAATAAATGTAAAATACACTTTAGGGGTTTAGTTACATTTTCTAGTTTTAGTTATTATTTCAGAATGATACTTAATTTAGGAATTTGTGCCATGTGTTTAAAATGTATTTTATTCAAGGCAAATGATGCTGTGCAAAGTTCCATTAACTGAAATTTTCATGTTCAAAATATGTTAAAACAGGCCTTTTGACTTTAAAAAGGTTCATCTTTTGGGACCTATTGTGTCTCTATAATTAAAACAAAGGGTTTGGACAAGGTGGTTTCTAAGATCCCTTCTAGTTCTACATTAAAACAGTTTTTAAGTAGCTAATACTAGCATATACTCTGAATTAATTTTTGAGAAATGTTCATTTATTTATTAATCACATTATCAATTATTTCAGTGCCTATGAAGTCAACATGTTTTATACTTTAAACTTACACAATTACGTTTCAATTGTATCTCAATTTTTTTTTTTTTTTAAAAGAACATAGTCCAGTTATGGGCAAAGGAAAAAAAATCCTAAACAAAAGCATAAGGACATGTGAGCTCACAAGTGATGTAACAATATTACCACAAGGTTAAAAGCTCAAGCTTTGTTGAGCAACCTCCCCACTGAATGGTTATGTGATTCTTGGCAAATTCCTTAATAAAATCATAGTGTTCTCACTTGAAATGAGAACCTTAGAGGCAATAAATTTTGCTTCACAGGGTTGCCTTGAGAATTAAATGACATGATATGCATAAACCCCTCAGTGCAGTATTGGGTCACAGTAATTTTTGTTTCAGTCTCTGCTAAAGGTTGAGAAGGAGACTGAAAGGCCTGAATGAGGCTCCACCAGGCTTTGCTGTCCAGTGAAAATAGAGTCCATAGCAGGGGACCAGTTATTCTCAGGGAGATCCCAAAGGAGGGAGTAACTCTTTTAAAATCATTTGTTGAATGCTCAATACGTGGTGAGGCCTGGAGATATAAGGGAACTGAGCTATATTGTCTTGAAGCTTGTAGTCAATAACAAAGTAAACATTTTTCTCCTTTTCTTTGTGTCTGTCTGTAAAAAAGTAATTTAGAAATGATGACGTATAATGAGAGCATAATGGGTATAATGAGAATTAGTAGGAGGAGGAAGGATGCTCTGAGTAGAGGAAAATAGATCTAGGGTATTAGATAACATTTCACAGAGCTTGTGGCAATTTAAGGTCTAAAACATTAAAGTAGGAAATAACAGTTAAAGAAGAAAATACTAAAATTTTTATGAAATGATAAAGGTTACTGAATATCCAAGATACTTCTTAAAGAGAAAGATACAGGAGTCTTATAAAATGAGAGTGATTAAGACTGTAGTATTGGACAAAGGGACACAAAGTGTAGGCAGATAGCCCCGTGGAGCAGAATAGAGACCCTAGAAGTAAGCTCACAGGTGTTCGGAACATTCAGCATATGACAGAGGAAGCACTGCACACCAATGGGGGGGAAAAGGGCTGTTCAATAAGTGGAGCTGACAATAAAGTGGTAATCCATGTGGAAAACAGATGAAATTGAATGTCGACTTCATGCCACAAACCAAGATAAACTTTGGATGTATTAATGTCAAAACAAAACTAAAACTTTTAGCAGAAAAAAATCGGACATCTACTAGACCTTGAATTAATACAAATTTTGAAACCCTACACAAAACATTTGACCATAAAAAAAATACTGATAAATTTGACTATATTAAAATTGAGAAGGTTGGCTCATTCAAATATAACTTAAAGTAAAAAGAGAAGTTACAAATTGTAGATGTTCAATGAACATGCAACTGAGAGATTATTGTCAAATAGTGCATGTGTGTAGATCCCATTATTAATAAAATAAGCCCAAGTAGTCCAATAGGAGAAAAATGAACAGACATGAATAGACACTTCTTAAGAAAGGGAACACATATAGCAAAAAAACTTATGAAGAAATATTGAACATCAATTTTGATCAGGGAAATATAGATCAAGGCTATAATTACATACTGATATCCATTCAGCTAGTAAAAATTTAAAAGGCTGATTATATCAACTGTTAGAAATGATGCATCTCCATATTTTTATTATAACTTTAGGTAGCAATTTGCCATTATCTTTGAAATCTGAACATTTGTGTATGAACCATCACTCATAGTCATATATTCAAGAAAATTTCTTCCACATACACAAATATTTCATAGTACTATTGTTCATAAAATGAAAAAATGAAAATAATCTATATGCCCATCCATAGAAAAGCTGATGAATGAACAGTGGAATATCAATATATGGGATTAGTATATAAGTCAAAATGAATGATCTGCGGTGACTCGCACCAATATGAATGAATTTGGTGATACAATAATAAGTATAAAATTTATGTCCTTGAAAGATGATATAAGCATGACATAGTTTGAAAAACTAAAATCAACTCAAATTTGCAAATGTATGTATTAGGGATATATCTAGATGCAAAAAGATTTTATATAAATCAAGTGAGGCTAATTATGAATATGGGATTTAGGATGTTGACTCTTGTATGGGGGAGATAGGAGCATGGGGTGAGGGTGAACATTTTGGCTGAATGTGGGTCATTATGAGGGTTCTAGATTTGTTTTGGGTGTGGGTTTGATGTGTTTATTATATCATAGAGATGACTAAATTAATGAATAAGAGCCACAGAAAGGATTTAAAAATTGAGAAGCCACTGAATGGGTTTAAAAGGCAGAGCAGACATGATCACGTTTGTGCTGTGGAAAGATCACTATGGATTGAAGGAGGAGAATGTACTGGAGAAGAGCCAGGTTCCACAAATTCTGTTCAGGAAGCGACGCCTGCTTAGAGCAGAGTAGTCGCAGCGAGGTATGAAAGAAGTAGGTAAAATGAAGTATTGAGATATGGGAGCAAGAGAGCTGCGTGCTTGACTGGCTCTGATGGGTGGGGAGGTGGAAGTGTCAAGGACAAGTCTTGAGTTCCTTACAGGGATTTATTTGATTCAATTTCCTGAAAGAAGAGAATGTAGGAGGAGATGATTTGAGGGTGGATGTTGAGTTTATTTTAGACATGTTGAGTTTGAGATACCTGTTAAGTAACTGAATGGAATTATTTCATAGGAAGTTGGCTATGTTATTAAACTCTAAATATCAAACATAAAAACCATAACTTCTATGTACTTTTTTTCCATAAAATGGATTATATTCTTTATTAAATGGAGTATA